ACCATTTAAGACATTTTAAGTGATGGACATGTACAAACAGTTCTACCCTTAACACACTATGCAGAAGTTTTGTTTTCTACACCAATATAGTCTCTTGTTCAAAAATTTAAGAATATCCAGTCACTGTCATGTAGAACAATGTAATGTTGCAATACCTGTAAAAGGTATTACATGAGAAGTTAGCTACTACCACTACAGCTCCTCTTCACAAGAAATCAAAGCAATGCTCAAGTAGACAGTAAGGATGAAAGCTTCAGTGAGACCAAGCAGTCAGCACTGACAACAAAGAAGCATTCACCTCGTGTTGGGATGAGTAGCATTGAACTGTAAAATTTGCCTTGTATTGGTTTGATTCAGAAGCTGGCAAAAATTCAGCTTAATCGAGGCAAACCTTCACCTAGGAGCATAATTGCTTCGTTCATTAATCACCACAGCAATGCTAGCAAACCTTCCAGCATGGATGGAACCAGGAACAACACACCTTGCTTTCATTCACCTTAGTGAGGTTGCATAGATATATCACACAAACTCATCTTTCAAACATTTTCTGTTTGTCTTCAAGAGTTTTGCTGGCATAACCATCAAGCTTTCTGAAGCATAGACATAACCAAAGTACAGGGTGAAGTCTAAACCTCCCTTAACTCCCACTTCGTCAAGCACACCTGTGATTGTCCTGGATAATCTGTTGTTAATGCTGGTAATAATCAACATTATGTTTTCAAGACAACTTGGGTGTCCACAAAAACAACGGTGGGAGGGTTAAGACTGAGGTTTCATCTCAGACCTCCACAGTTTTATTGATCATATACCCTAACCTGTCCACCCTCGCTTCTATAGTTTCTTCAAATTAAAGATCATCTTTAACAGATGTTTTAGGTACCAGAAATACAGAGGCTGCTAAACTCCTTTCCGCTAAGTTCTGAGTGAATTCTGGTTGATGACCACATTTTCTCTAACAAAATCTTACAAACGAGATTTGAGCTGCTTTTAAAGTCCAGAGAACACATTAAGCCTTTTACGAAGACATATAATGTGTTTCTGTGTATTAAAGGATGACTTTTCCTCACTATATTTTGAGGTTTTATAAAACAGAACCCCAGCTGTGCTAACACTGCTGAGCTATTTCAGGAATGTTTAAAGATTTCAATAAACCTGTTTTCATAGTGACCAGAAAGGGTAAGTGACATAACCTGCAAGAAACATTTACAATAAAAAACTGAAAGGCAGTATCTGAACCAGAGTCCTCATATTTGGATCAAGGCTGTCTCATCATGAAAGGAAGAATATATTGAATGAGTCATGCATAATTTATTCTCAACTCTCCCATATTTTTAATGGGGTGGCAAAAGAAAGGTCAGTGACAATTGTGAAAACTTCGTTCAGGGCTAAGTTATCAGGTTTGAACCTCTCTTATAACTTTCAAATTAAGATGTTTCTTGTGCCTGAGACAAGCTTGTATTTTCCTTTACAAATCAAGCCTACAGTCTTATGCACATAGAGACATGTGATCTCTGCACCCTGCAGAAAAGCAATGCTTCCAGAAACAGAAATGAAAAGCAAAATTCATTCAGCTGCAAGCACAGAACAAAGACAGCAAACTGAAAGACACAATAATAATACTGTTCCCATCTTAGGAAACACTGAAAGGTTATTTTTTTATTGACAATTTGGACAGTTCTAATGCATGACTTATCAGGAGAGAGAAAGGTTGCACGTATTAAGAGACTGTTCCTGAATATAAAGCACAAAACCATGCCAGATCCCTGTGTCCTTATGGTCTGGACATTTCATTATCAGACCTTCGTCAAATTGTTTGACTGTTTCCTTACTATCAATGGATGATGGCACCAACTTACCGCTTGAAGGTGCCACATTCAACTTTGATTGTCTTTGTCTCTCTAAGCTGTGCCTGACAAGATATCCAAGAGGAGTTTATCAATAGCTGAAATTTAGCAAGCCATGCTCAACTTTTTTCTTTTTTTTTTATATTAACTACATGCTGAAATTTTATCAATAATTTCCTCAAAATAGGCAATATCTCAAACCTTCAGTCAGAGATTTGGGATGGCCATTTTCTCCAATAAATTTCTTTTATTTTTCAATTACAGGAAGTAGCAATTCCCTACATGGGCATAAGATCAAGTTGCACTTCAAAGCTTTCCTAAGTTGTATGCTCCTTTCAGTCATTTACCTGAATAAAGGCATAATAAGCCTGGAAAGAATAGAAAATATTTCTCTTGCTGTATGTGGGAAAATAAGGAATATTCCTGGCAAGAGCAGCCAGATTGCTTAAAACCGTATAAAAACAGATAGTGGTCACCAAATGAGCATGCTAAAACTCTTCAGCATTTAAAGTCCTAACAAATGGCAAGACTTCAGCTGTTACAAAAGTTTACAGTCCCTTGACCAACCATTTTAATTCTACAATACACCCTTATCCAAGTTTTCAAAGTATGCATCTTTCAAAATAAGACAGGATCTTATTTTTTGCCCCAAGTAATATGAATTATGCTAATGAAAACATAGTTCTATTTAAAAACAAATCGGGGTCAGTCATCCAGAAGACAACAGGTTTCAGACTCATTTCCATCACAGGCTGTGCATACAGGGAAAATTCATTATTTATACAGACTTTTCACTGACTGGATGTCAATGCTTTTAATTAAGTCTCCAAGCAGTCACAGAACTCTATCCCTTTTGTAGCTGATATTCCAGACCGTAGTCTAAGGTCATATTTGTAACACTCTCCATTTTGTAAAGAAGCAACTGTTTTCCTGCTTCTGCCACTGGGACAGAGACCCGTGTTAGGAGCTGCTGGCATCTAAAGCATCTTTGTGCAGCACACAACTTCATAATGAGAAGTTGCTAACTGCTGCATAATACTTGGGCATGTAGCTTTCGCTTTTTGTAAAGAGGCAGCACAATCTCGTTTTGTGGTTCAGTCAGGTCTTGATCACTGCACAAGGGAGGCTGTCCACCTCCACACACAGCTGGCTAATGCACACTGACTGACAGTCAATTCAAATTAGCAACATTGTTATGTTAAAAAGGGGCAAAATAAAAAGCATCAAAGTAGCTTGTTGGAAGGTTCCCTTTAGTTTTAAATACACCCTAAAACAACAGCAATGAGACTTTGCAAATGTGAGGATGTAACACGGCACTTTGTGTCAGAAACCAGCCATTTGGTTACCACACAGAGAAGCAGGTCTAGGTAACAATTCTGTTTCTCAATCTGCTGAATTTACAGAAAGAGAAGGCCAATACATTACAGAGACAATGTCCATAATAAAGCAAGAAATTCTTACTGGAAGCTCCTGGCATAAACTAGCACACTTTTCCACACTCAAGCTGTGCAAAGCACCCATAGTTGGTGACTTCTGGAGGAGAGGATGAAGAGCCAAATTCAGCACCATTTACCATACATACTGAACTCAGCAAGTGTAAATAAACGGAGCTTATGCCTTACTTTGCCAGGAAAAAAAAACTTACAAATGTCTTCCAAAATGAGAAGTTGCCATAAAATCTCAAACTCTAAGCATCAGAAATACTTTCCTGGGGAGTAAAAACTGACTGATACTAATAAAGGATTTCCATCCACCACATTTACCTCAATATAACACCTGTCTTTTTAGACAGTCTGTGTAAGCTCCGGGACATAAGCTGCTTGGAACAGTCCACGGCACTATGAATGGTTTAAGTTAACTTCAGTCTTAGTTCATCTAAAATCACTGGAAGTCCTGTGTTCACAGAGATCAACTTCCTAAAAATATACGATTGAGGATTTGTTTCAAGATTTCTTTTTGTTTGGCTGGAAAATTTGGAGTGCATGCTATGAACAAACCAGTGTGCTTGGAGGTGCCTTAAATCTCTAATTCTAAAGCAGCTTTGAGAGCAATAGCTGAAACAGTAATAGCCTATAACCAAATGAGTCAGTCATTTCTCACAAGTTCATGTATTTATTATCTTCTAAACTACTGAGTATATTTAGCATTAGACAGTTCACATCACAGAATTTACCAAGTGTATTGTAGCACAACCGCATCTCTGGGATTATTAAAGTTTCATATCTTACAGGCATGGATGGCTTTCAGAGGGTTAGATTTATGCATAAGTCCACTCATAGGATCAAGGCCCTAACAAAGCTGTCTTCTGTTTGAGATTTTGGTTTTAATATGATTTATTTCCTCTTTGCTTATCAGTACTGGAGAAAATAGGGTTTTATTTTTTTGGTTTTTTTGCTTTTTAAGGTAGGTTAATCGCGGCCTCTAGAATTACTATAGCAGCATAAACAGAAATGCCAGTTTCGCAGGCTCTTGCAGGAAGGTATGTCTGCCCATCAGCCTGCTTTAGTGACTGAAATCATCACATACCCACCTGAGCGTAAGGTTATGCTTAGAAAGGCACATTAAGGCATCTAGGTTTCAAGGTGACCATATGAAAAGGCACCTTCAAGAAAAAGAAGGGGGGAGCAACCCACGCCTGGCCCTTAAATTGCTGAAGGGAATGCAGTAGCGAGTATAGCGGGCAGCCAGGGAAAGACGAGAGATCGGAGAGCCTTGCTTCAGACGGGAATGCGAAGGACAGCCGGGGACGGTGTTTGCCAACACCAGCCCCAGTCACCGAGTCCTCCCCCTGCCGCGGACCCCCACCCGCACGGCCGGGCCGGGGGAGGCGGCGGCGCAGCCCCGTTACGCGGTGCCCGCGGCCCCGCCCGGGGCTGCAGGTGCGGGGAGGCGCCAGGGGACATCACCGCTGGGAGACATCGCCTTGGGGACATCGCCGCTGGCGGATATCGCCGCCGGCGGACATCGCCCGCACCAACCACGGGAAACCGGCTCTGCGCCATCCTCTCGCGCCATCCCCGCCAGCCCTCTCGCTCTTTCCCTCCCTGCCTTCCTCCCTGTCCACCGCCGCCGCCCGGCGCTGGCGGGGCGAGCCCCGCAGAGAAGGTCGCTGCTCGCAGACCTCGCCACTTTCCCCCGCGCCGAGCAGTAACACACCAGCCCGGGGGCGCCGCTCCGAGGAGGAAAGTGACGGGGAGATGCCGGGGAGATGCCGCGGAGATGCCCGGGCTGATGCCCGGGCTGATGCCGCGCAGATGCCGCCCTGCCCCGCGGCGTTCCCGCACCGCTCCCGTACCTGAGCGCCTCCCGCTCCTGCCGCTCCGGTCCCCCGGCGGCGCCGGCTCCCACCCCCTGCGCGCGCAGCCGCCGCCGAACCGCTCCGCGCAGAGTCCCGGCCGGGGGGCGGGGAGGGCGTGTCCGTGCTGTGGCCCCGAACCCCCGGGGAATGCCCGGAGAGGGTGGGGATTCTCCCTCGGCGGAGATATTCAAGAACCGTTCGGATGCAATCCTGTGCAATATGCTCTAGGATGACCCTGCTTGAGTAGGGAGGTTGGACCAGATGACCTACTGTGGTCCCTTCCACCCTCACCTATCCTGTGATTCTGTGAGGAGGCATCCACGTTTCGCGTGTCATCCCTCAGCCCGTCTCGGGGACGAGATGCACGAATGCACCCTTCCCGTGGAAAAGGGACTTTTTTATTCATATAATTAAATGGTTAGCTTGTACTCATCTGTCTCACACAGAGGATAAGTCTAGAAAGTAAAGCAGGTTATTTAAAATATGGCTGCTACCCCATTAACCAGTCAAACCGCTGCATAGAAACTACACCAAACTTAGCAAAGCTGAAGGGATGACTTCATCAGTAGTAATTTCTTCACAGAAAGGGTTGTTAAGCACTGGAACTGGCTGCCCAGGGAGGTGGTGGAGTCACTATCCCTGTCATCATGTCATCATGGCTAGTCTTCGCAAACGAAGATTTGGGAAGGACTCTGCCTGCATTTGCTACAAGCGCGTTGGTGGCTAAAGACGCCAATGCGAGAATAGACAAGGTCGGTTGAAAAAGGCACAGCAGAAAGACTCCTCAGATGGTATTGGCAGGATACAATTCTTTCTGCGTTGTCTTTTGTCTTCGATGGTGATCCTACGTGTGTTCTCAAAGGAAGCAGCAGCGTCATGCATAGTGTGTCTCCAGAGCTCCTGATTGGAGGCCAGGGTAGACCAGCAATGAAGATCAATGTGGCCAAGGCTGAGATGTTGCTTCAGGGAGTCCTTGTATCTCCTTTTCGGGGCTCCTCTCTTGCGGCACCCAGTGGCAAGTTCACCATAAAGCAGGATCTTAGGGAGGCGGTGGTCCTTCATCCTTGAGGTGTGCCCTGCCCAACACAGCTGTGTTCTCAGCAACATGTCCTCTATACTCGTAACTGCTGCCTGTTCTAGAACAGACATGTTAGTTACATAGTCTGACCAGTGGATGTTTAGGATTGTACGGAGACAGCGTTGATGGAAGTGTTCTAGGAGTTGCAGGTGGTGGCAGTAAATGACCCATGATTCGGACCCATATAAGAGAGTAGACAGCACAATGGCACCATCCCTGTAGGTGTTTGAGAAATGACTGGATTGGCACTTAGTGCCATGGTCTAGTTGACAAGGTGATGTTCAGTCAAAGGTCGGACTCGATGATCTCAGAGGTCTTTTCCAACCTAAATGATTCTGTGATTCTGTGATTCATGACTGGGGACTTCTCTGCTGGCTGCATGTGAAGTGTCATAGTGGGCTCCTGCCCCAGCAGCTGAACCCCATGGACCTCTCAGCTGTTTGGGTGCAGCAGCACCACCACCACGAGGCCAAAAGCACGATGGCACTGACTGTCCCTCTGAGGTACCATTCAGAGCATAGCAAGCCTTGGTCCTGTCACGTGGAGCCGGCGGCCTGCTCTGTTTGCCAAACCCACCCAACAGGGGCTGTCCTGTGTGCTCCATCCTCAGCATACAACCTGTGCCTCCATATAGAGGTGAAAATAGTTTCACTGCTAGGCATCATCACGCAGGTCCCTGGATAAATGGTTAAACTGCTAAACATGATCTGCTGGTGATAAGGCAGCACCTTTATGTTTCTATCTCTGTCTTCAAAGAGAGGAACCTTGCTGCATACTTCACCAATTCCTGCCTCAGACCAGACACAGTGTGGAAAAGAGACTGCCAAGTATGTTTGATGAGAAGATAGGAAGCTGGGGAAGAGGTCAGAGAGGCAAGGGTGAGCCAGCAGACAGAATAAAGAGCATTAAAAAACAGAGTGTTTCTGCATAAGAGCAACAAGAAGGAAGTATGTTGGGTTGGTAAAGCAATGTGGAACTTGTGGGTGGCTCAGAAAATATAGAAATCTATAAAAGAGCTTTGTACCTGGTTTCAAGAAGTTTATTCTCAGCTATTGTCTCATTTCACAGATTTTCTTTTTTGCCAGTAGAAGCAATTACCTGAAAGTACTCCATCAGCATGTCCTCTGTAGTGCTGCACAGCTTGATGGCCAGCGTTGAGTTCCTCAGGATATTTGCTTTTCCTGATATCATAGAATGGTTTGGGTTGGAAAGGACCTTAAAGATCATCTAGTTCCCTGCCGTAGGCGGGGACACCTTCAACTAGACCAGGTTGCTCAAAGCCCCAGTCAACCTGGTCTTGAACACTTCCAGGGATGAGACATCCACAACTTCTCTGGGCAAACTGTTCCTCTGCCTCATCACCCTCCACAGTAAAGAATTTTTTCCTAATATCTGGATCTATCCCATATTAGTTTAAAGACATGGGTCTGCATGTGTTCAGAAATTATGGATAAGCTTTGGACACTGTTGCTGTCAAACTTAAATGCAGACCAGAAGTTGCAGTTTCATTATGTAACTAAATAAGAAAATAATTTTCTGCTCCCAGTTTCAGTGAATGTGAAATACTGTGGCATCTGCACCTTTTTGGGGGTATGTCGGTAACCTGTATAGGGACTAAGAAGTCAGTACTTAGGCTTAATGCTTTTGATTAAAAAGCAGGGCCGATAATTAGTAACATGGAGCCCTTCATACTACTACCATTATATATTTTAATCAAGACCATTGCTTTTCTCTGCTATCAATTTTGCTGTCACCAGAATTACATTTCAATGTGTTCTGCAACAGAAAAAGAAAAGACTGTATATCTCCTGCTTAAAATATATAACTGAAAGGTGATGTGAATCACTGAAAAGCTGAGGACTTTATACCAATTTAATTGTAACAACTTCAGTTGAACATAACAACCCAAATTCCTTGCTCCAGAGTTACATCAAGGATGAGCTGCATCACAGGCAGCTTGCTTCTTAGAATCAGAAAGATAGCTGATGAAAAGAGCAGGTGCAATTTAAAAAAGGGTTTAAATTATATCCTATAACACACCACTTATATTGCCCATATTATGCTCACTTAGATGACTAAGTCTATTCTCTAATTACACTGGAGATGATTATGGCTGAGTATAATCTACCTAAGAATTATTAGACTGTCTACAGAATGATTACACACTGGTGACACAGAAATCTTTGATGCTTCCTTTCTGTATAAGCTGTCAGGAACTGCATAAAGCAGCAAGGATGAGTGGTTAGAGCACAGTCCTGGGAATCAAGAGAGCCTGGGGTGTATGTTGTTCTGCCATAAGCTTGCTGCTTGGCTTTGGATAAATCTTGTACCCCCACAGTAATTCAATTACCTCACACAAGAAACAGGGAAAGCATTTACTCAGAGCTGCATCTTTAAAATCTTTGAATGGAGATTGCTGTGTAAACAGAAAACACAAAATTATAATAATTAGGACAAATCAAGGAAGGAAAGCAGGAAGGACACATCTTAAGAGAAGAGAATTTCAAAGAGCCTTTGTTCCATGTTTTATCTGTGAAAGGAAGATAACAAAAGGCAAACACTGCAACATATAGCTTAAGTTACAGTGGTTTTTTGTTCTTCTTTATACACCTCCTTAGTTGGAGATCAGAGCTCACTCAGGAGAACTAGTACCCCAAAATCCTCAAGACACTGCAGCACTAGTCTTTGATTCATTATTTCCAAAATACTTTCCTCTGCAAGTTCAAGACAGCAGCCGTGCAACTGATGGAACTAGTTTTCTCAGTAAACTGTGTTTAAAAGAAGAGAAGCTGGCTTAATGTAGGTTGTTAGAAAAGACCATCTAAGTGTTGAAATTATATTAAAAAATGTAATATGATAGATTTTGGTGAAAGGGTGGTGCAGCCAAGAAAACCCTTTTGTTGGTATTTATTTTTGCTATTTCAAGCCACCGTCTTAGTCCTGTTCTCTCTAGCGGAGCACTGATTTGGGGTACTTAAAAAACAGATGAACTGGGGTTATTCAGAACAAATGTGCGTGGTTGCTTCTAAGTCAGAATTCTAAGCCTGTACCCGTAAAGGCACCCCACTAAAATTATTCCTCTTGAAGTGAGTTATAGGAACAAAAGCTTTTTATATACAGAAGAGTTAGTAACATTGAAAACACCTGTGAGACCCTTGTTAATAGTTACACCATAGGCCAGTAAATGCAACTGATGTCATAGAATGAATCTAAAGAGCGAGAAGTATCAATGGCACTTGTGTGTTTTGTTTTGTTTTTTCTATATAGTCAGGAGACTGGACCAGAGAACTGAGAGTATTTCTCCCACACTAAAGCCACTAAAGGTGGCTTCATCCATAAAAAAGAAAGAGGGTGGCAGGTGCAGTACTATGATGTGAGATAAACATGTCACCTGCTGAGCTCTGTGGATGTTCAAAATGAAAAAGATAGGAGAAATCCTGGCTGCAGCCTCTTTATCCAATTATACCATTGAAGATTAATTTATGGAAATGGCTGCAGCTGTAGTTAAGATGTTATTGTAGGCACAATGTCAGGCTTAGATGCTGAGCTCTTACTCATGCACCACAGAAGGTAATTCATATTTCCATTACATAAGTGACATAACAGAACACAACTCCTCAATGTGACAGGGACAGAAGACAGCGTGCTGCAGTTACCCTCAGTGTCTAGAAAGCTATTAGGCACAGCACTGAACCACACAAACAAGCTGCTACATTGCCCAGTCAGAAAGGTTGCCTTCTTCTGGAGCGATGATTTACCAATATAACATCAGTCTTTTGCTTTTTTTTCATAAATTTTGGCATTTTCCTGGTTTTAATTTACAGAAATCTGTGACAGCATATTTATTTTCAGAATTCTAAAAGGTATCGCAAGACACATTTATTATTATTATTGGCTT